TATCCCGATTTACCAGATTCTTTTCAGCCTCCTTCATAGATTTCTCACAACATATTCAGCTTTCTTCTCAAACTTTAGACACCTCAAAGTTACAAATTTTCAATCCTCTTCCTAATCCTCTATGTATCAAACAGTGTACATCGCAACTTTCCATCGCTAATCTCATTCATTTGTTTGTATAAAAAATATCCAGTTTTAAGTCATACTGTGAAGTGATTGCATTCAATTGTCGCATCAAAATAAACAGAGACTATCATCAACCATTCGAATGGTTTCTTGAGCAAACGATTGAGCATCCAAAATGATATTGCTTAGTGAAGTATTTCAGCAAATATCGGAACGAAAAAATGCGCGCTTATGTGTGAAAGTGATTACAACGAAATCTTAAAACAATAACTTTGAACTTTTCAGTCATAACTCTCCACATTCCCGATTTATTTGTTTGATTTTGCTCACTTCAAAAGCTCCTCAAAGTATCAGGTTTGCCTCTCATACGCACTCATTTTGTTTAAAATAACAGCTCTATACATATTGACCATACGATTTATCGATAATATGCTATCGTACTTAGTTCTCGAATGCATCAGTCTTGAAATGCTGCAGCTCTTTGCTACATTCTGCTCAATCGCGCACTTCAATAAGCCCACATCACTCTGCGATTATGCGAATCTCAGATGCCATCAACAAAATTTCACCGGAAACAAAACACATTTCAATCGAAAAATTTCGCGATTGCCATTCAAAAAATCAGCAGCATGTGTTTACAACAGTACACAATAACTAACAACAGCTGCAAAAAACGAACACTGCAAATAGTTCTGTCGTAACGATGTATTTTATGAGTTCCAACTGAAAACTCCGAAAACCTGTTCGAATCACAAACTTTAAAACTACTTCATTTATACTGGAATAAATATCGCTGACGAATCTCGATACGAGAAGGTAAGCTGAAAGAGACAACCAGGTCGATGTGAAGAACAAAACTATCAAAAAAGCGAGATTCTTAATACACTGAAAAAGCTCATAAGATGCGATGAAATAAAAGCAACGAAAGGCGCCATCAAAATATCAGCAGCCTGATAGCAAACTCAAAACACCTCCGCACATAAATCAAACAGATCAAACTGAAAATTAGAAAACTGTTCCACAAAACGAAAACCATCACAAAAAAACCAATTTATACAACAAACAAAACCTGCGATTCCAACGATCTTAACCTCATCTCTTGTGGTGAGGCACTATTACCGCGTTGTGTAGAGCATCTCTAAAAGACAACCACAAATTCACCAAAAGAAAAAACCAATCAAAAATGACTCAAAACCAACTTACACCATCCATTCTGGTTCTCCTTCTCATCACCATATCATCTTCATCGATCAATGGCATTACCGTCTTCTTTTCAATAGTGTGTACCAAACTTGGGGTTTAATTTGTACCAAAAACCAGGCCTTGTGTGTTCAGCTCAGTTTCTGAACCAATTCAGCAGTTACAACGATGGTTCGTTCGTTCAATAAGACTAAGACAGATCAGAAAACGTTTCAGGCCTACTGAACGAGACATAACATTGGCACGATGGCTAGAAATGCTTGAAAACGTGAATGAAATACGAGACAAGCGGATAGACATGCGCTATGGAAACTAATGTATAACTATGCGTTGTGATCTAATGAATGCAAGAAGATAATTATGAAGAGACAAATTTATATGATGCAATCAGCGATTGATAACGTGAATAACGTTCAAAACAGCAAACAACAAACAACAACAACATATCGATAGCATAACAAAACAGCAGTCATATTTCAATTCGACAAAAAAACGATCATGTGTGATCATATTATCGTTGAAAACAAAACGCATTCATCAATCGAACAAACAATTGAGCCAATTAATTCTTTTGTTTAAGAACTGGCTACGTCAAGTCATGCGGAAATCTATAATATAAGAGAGCACCGAGATAAGCGACCAACATTTAGATAAACATAATGA